TTTTTTTTTTTTTTTTTTTTGTGATGGCCTCCCTTCTCCCCTTACAGCCATCCTCTCCACACCATTATTATGAAATATTTATTCTAGTGACTATCTAGTGTAGGTTTTTTTTTTTTTTTTTAATTTTTAATAGAATAGAAAGAAAGAAAAGACAAAGTAAGACTCCAAAATATAAGAAATATACACAAAGAGAGCACACAGCAAAACACCCGGCCACTGTCTGTTCACCTGCAAAGAACATGACAAAACACAGCAACAAAATACATATGTATAAAGAACTTAAAATATTCATGGCTTTGCAGTAAGTTTCCATAAATATATATACCCATATCTACGCCTATATACATACATACATACACATGAATATACATTCATATACATATCTATATATCTACATATAAAGCCTACATAAGCATCCCTGCTTCTATTTGTGTGTGGTTGTGAGCATGCACAAGTGTATAAGGCTTCTCTAATAGAACATTTAATAGTAAGTGTGAAGCAGCAGAGACCCGACCCCCAGACGAAAAAGTGGGGACCAGAGCCCAAGACCCCAGGAGGGACCCTGACCGCGGAGCCCCCAGGGCCACCCACACAGGACGAACCACTCACCCACCCCCCAGAACGGACCACAGGGGAGAACCGGAAGATCCCCACCAGCGACCACATACAGTGACCCCCCAGGGCCAACAGCGACAAACTCATAGGCCTCCGTCGGAACCCGCCGCACCGATGTAGGTCCAGGTCCGGGCACAGAGGCCCGGGCACCGAGGACTCACACCACCCCGGCCAAGGCCCAACAGGGCCAGAGGACCCAAGCCCCACCAGGCAGACACCAGGCCGAGCCGAAAAAAAAAAGCTTCTTGACTCAAGGGATGAACATCTGTGGTTTGTTGATACGTAGACTACTTACCATATGCCCAGTTTGGATTAAACTTTTAGGCGGTTTGTCACAATAAACATTATCTTTAAATATTATTTTTCTGCAGTAGTTAAGGCATTTTGTTTGTTTTAGGTTTGACTCTTCTTTCTATGTTCTCCACTTGTCTATTGACCACATTTCTTTTGCACACTGCACAATATGATGTGATGGTACAATAACTGGACAGAAAATGAGCAAGAAAAGCCGTCTGGGTTAGATTAAAAAAAAAATCTAAACAAAACGTCAAAAAATAGCTCCAAAATGGCTCCAAATACTTTCTCCAATAACAGCTTTTAAATAGCTTCATGAGGCTTGGAAAACTATTGATAAGGACAAATTAAAAAGAAAGAAAGACTTTGAAAGAAATAGAAAAAAGGGCTAGTTTAAGACTTTTGCAGATTATTGTATAGAGCTGTGGTTAAACAAAAAAAAAGGTAGTGACAAAGGCTAGTTAGGTCTATTGTTGTTTTAATATATTAATAACCCTAATTATTGTAATGAGGACATAATGACAACTTTTTAAACTGCCACTGTAATATATTTTTTTGTAATTTATAACTACATTAGTTTTATTTTTTGTAAACATTTTGATTCAAACATGCCATTTTCAATCTTTTTTAAATATAAGTTTTTATCAGGTTATCTAAGGACCTTGCATGCAAGGTTAGTTATCACTGTAAAGTTTATGTAGAACAACAACAACAACAACAAACCACTTCATTGTGTTCATTCACAAAGGAATTTGTATTGCACAGTTTCAAGGATGTACCATATTTTTCAGATTATAAGGCACAATATCAATGAACGGGTTTGTTTTCATGCATAAGGCGCACTGATTTTAAGGTGCATTAAGCAAAACCAAACAGTCAGATAAGTCAAACTTTATTCAATTAATTTACAATAAAATCAGTAAAAGTGTATCTTATAGTCCAAAAAAATATGGTATTGTATTTTTTCTAAAGAAATGTGCCCTGTTTGATTTTAACTCGTTGAGTTTTTTTTGTCACTTTTTTTTTTTACAGTGTTACAAGATAATAAATAACCGCAAGAGCACATGGCAAGAAGCACGAGAACAATGCAACAATATGCAAGCTAACTTGGTCTCCATTTCCACAAGACAAGTGCAAGGTTCAATACATTTCTATATTCATGTATTTATAAATACACATGTGTAAATGCAAATTACTGCAATATTCACATGTGACAATTTTACCTTAAATAATCACTCCTGAATATTTTGTGTGCATTCTAACTATGTAGTTAAAGAGAATATGGATATTAATTGGAAAAAAGTCATATAAATATTATTCCTTCATTTTAGATCTTGAGTTTATGATGTTTTGTTTGGTACTTTATTGTCTTTTTCATTATGCCAAGAATTATAAATTAACAATTTTCATGCGGGCACATGAACAAGATATAAAATAACAACAATAAATCAGGCTGGAAGTTTAAGAAAATTTTTGGGGAAAAATTACAAAACAAATTTAAATAATGTTGCAGCTTTTGACTTTTCTTATCTTTGAATTTTACAGCATTCTTGACCATGAACTTGCTCGACGTACCAAATACTGATTTGTGGATTGGTTTGAACAGTTTAAATCAAGAAGGATTTTTCTGGACTGATGGAAAAACACGACAATACACCAATTGGGGTTATTCTGTAAGTATACACAGGAATATTTTTAATATTGTTGCCTACTTTAATTTATTTTTTTGCTCTGACAATGAGATGTTGTTGGATGTGGTAGTTCAGCGGTCGGCACCATGGTCTCGTAATCCTGAGACTGCAGGTTTAAGCCCGAGCTGTGTCTTAAAGGGCATTTGAACAATTGCCAAATATTTTGTGCAAGTTTACTGTATATATATAATGCATATCTATATTTGTTTTTTTAGAAAAATCAACGCCGTTTTGGATCATTTTATCAAAGATGGAATGAGGTAAAAGAAAAAGAAAAACGGTTGAACTTGACTGAAAAGTTTTGTTTATATGCAGATCAGATAAAACTGTATATATGGTCAAAGTGAAAGTAATATTAAAACTTGTATTGTTTGTTTACAGGAGGAGTGTGTGGTGGTGACCACTAGGTCTTCTTTTGGGATTGGGAAATGGTTGATTAAGCCCTGCAATGATACCTATGGATATGTTTGCCACAAAAATATCAGTGAGTTTCTCCCTTTACTGTTTAATAAAAGTCTTAAAAATAAATATTTAAAGTTCAGAATTGTAGAAAAATCAATTTACCACATCACTCCGCTTAAATACAGGTAGAAATTCCTCTTGCAGTCCTTATTTCTGGTTTATAATATAATGACGTAGAAAATTAAAAAGTTACAACATAATCTTCTATTTGCAGAACCACGAACAAAGCTTTAAACAACAAAAGTTCTGATCATTGTCTTGGTCTCCACAGATCCAAGTATCAAGCCACAACCAGACTCAATAGAACCCAGCATTTATCAGAATGTGGGGAATGACAGCATCAAGGTCGTGACTCAAATGCTGTCCTGGGAAGACGCCAAGAAACGCTGCGAAAGCGACAAAGCCAACCTGGCCAGCTTGCGTAATGAGTGGACCAACGCCTACGCTGAGCTTTTGGCTTCCACGCTCAAAACTCCTCTGTGGATCGGACTGAACAAAAATAAGGTGAAGAGCTGCAGCCACCTCAACTCCTGCACTGTCACTGGAAAACAACTGAACTGCAAAAGGCTAAATGGAAAATGTTAGCTTAAAATGCTCCTATAGCCCCTTTAAATAATTAATTCTACAGTTACTGAATGATGGGTAACAAAATGAATGAAAGAGTTGCTTTCTAAAATTGCAAATAATGTTGTTTTTATTTGTCGCTTCCAGACTGGAGGTTATTTCAGGTATGTTGATGGCTGGCGCATGAGCTCTGCCAACTGGGCTGAAAATGAACCAAGCAGGGACAAACCATGTGTGTACGTAGACGTGGAAGGAAAATGGAAGACTGCTTACTGCAACCAGACTATGAACAGCATTTGTATACAGTCGTCAGGTACAACGTTTTATAGCACTAATATAAATTACAGAATGAATTTCATATATCGTTCACAAAGGGATATATTTTTGGTATTTCTATAATCCCAATTCTGAAATGGTTGTGATGTTGTGTAAAATGTAAATAAAAGCGAAATGCAATGATTTGTAAATTTCATAAACTCATACTTTCCTCAATAGAACATGGTAAACATGCCAAATATTCTAAGAAATCCATCCATCCATTATCTTTTACCTGCTTCTTCCATTTTGGGCCACAGGGGTCACCGGTGCCTGTGTCCAGAGATCACTGTGCGAGGGGCGGGGTACACCCTGGACGAGTCGCAAGTCCATCACAGGTCCACATAGAGACAAACGAGACAAACAACCATTCACTCTCTCACTCTCACCTAGGGACAATTTAGAGTTACCAATCAGCCTAACATGCATGTTTTTGGTTTGTGGGAGGAAACCGGAGTACCCGGAGAAAACCCACGCATGCACGGAGAGAACATGCAAACTCCAACCAGAAAGGCCCCTGGACCGGGATTTGAACCAGGGGCCTGCTTTCTGAAAGGCAGCAGCTCTACCAGTTGCGCCACCGTGCTGCCCTTTCTAAAAAATTAATTATTTAAAAAAAAGTCTGTAGGAACTGAGGAGAACAGTTGTTGGAGTTTATGGAGGGGAATGTTGTCCCATTACTGTCTACTGTAGCTCTCCAATCGTCCTGGGTCTTCTTTGCTGGATGGGAGGATATGTCAATCTAAATGTTGTATATATTTACAATATTTGCATTGATGGTGCCTTTCCAGATGTGCAAGTCTCCCATGCCAGAGGTAATAATGCACCTCCATATCATCAGAGAGGCAGGCTTTCGCAGATAACAGGCTAAATGTTCCCTCTCCTCTTTAGTACAAGCCTCAGTTGTTTCCTAAATTTATTTCAAACTTTAAATGGTCTTATTACAGAACCGTTTTTCATTTTGCCTCAGTCCATTTTAATTTAGCTTTGGCCAAGAAATGACGGTGGTGTTTCTGGATTCTGTTCACACATGGTTTCTACTTTAGATGATAGAGCTTTAAACACACCTTTGCTCAAAATGACCCCTAAGGCCTCAGTTTTAAAACTGATCAGATTTTTGAAACACACAAAGATCTAGTCACAATCTTCATCAAAGGGGCAGCAGGACGGTGACCATTTGCTGATGGCACAATAAGCAATGGTTTGAGGAAGTGTTTCTGAACCAATTCAGTGATGTCCTGAACAAAATCAGACCTGGTTTAAATCTGATGGTCCCTGAGGTCCTGATGATCCTGTTTCAGCCTTAGAAATATTATTTTTAAAAGCAGTGTTGTCAATCCACCCAGATGCAAGATATATATATAAACCAATAAATAGATATATATATATATACATACAGCTGTATATGTATATGTTATACTATTTTCTGTTATTGCCCCGTCTCAAATTTTCTGAGATGCGTTGCTGCCATAAAATTGAAAATTATATATTTTTTCCTCCAATAAGTGGTTCTTTAATTTCCACATTTGATATGTTTTCTATGAACCTTTTGCAAATCATTGCATTTTTGTTTTTATTTATATTTTACACAACGTCCCACCATTTTCAGAAATGTGGTTGTTTTTCTTGTAATCTCACATCTTTGGAACATTCTGCAGTTAATGACAGTTTCAATCAACACTTCCTACAAATCGCTCTTGTTATTTCATGTTAATTTTTTTTGTGTGTAAAACAGGAACTGTCAAGTTTGCAGTGTAAATGAACAAACTAAAGCCCAAAGTATATTCATATAATATTTAAATATTATGGAATTGGCAATGAGGGACAAAGGGATGCATGTGTAAATGCCAACACTTAAGTTATGAATATACAAGAAAAAAGGCTAAAATTCAAGAGAGCTGCTCCATAAAATCTACAAACTTACTTTTGTTTGCTAAATCTTTTTTTAAATTTTTTGAATTTTTTTTTTAATCTTACCAGCAAGTTTCCAGTTGACAGTTAGGAATGCCATGTCATGTATTTAATATTTTGTAATGAACCGTCTGTACCTTTCACAGATGTTCCTCCGACAGACTCCACCTCATTTCCTGGACGCTGCCCTGAAGATACTAACGTAGAGTACCAGGATAGTTACACCTGGCTGCCTTTTAGAGGCTACTGTTATTTGTTCGTCACAGATGAAATTGAATGGGCAGACGCCGCTAGCAGCTGTGTACGACACGGTAAGGCGTATTGCTGAAGCTCCATTTTTAGCTCAATTTTGCAATGGCTGCATGATCATAAAATAAACGTGTTGTTTCCACAAGATGTTTAGTAATTGTTCCAACCACATTGTTTCTTGTTGTGAAGGTGGAATCCTTGCAAGTATTGAAGACCCTACTGAGCAAGAATTTATCAAAAGCAACATTGAAGTACTTCAAGATAGCCATTCTTCTTTCTGGATCGGCCTATTTAAAACACACAAAGGTCTGTTCACCACATGCATCAGTTTTTTATTTAGGAGTAAATTGTTTATTTAGGCTAGGTTTAAAAAATACTTTAACAATATCTTAATATTGGTAGTAAGCATAAATTAGCCTTTTTTGCTAATCTTTTCTTCCCCCTGTCATTAGGAACATGGTTGTGGTTAGATAAAACAATCCTTGACTTTGCAAACTGGGCTCCAGACGAGCCAGATTCTGATTATGGTGCCATCAGAAGCTTAGATGGGACTTGGAGTTCGGGTCGCAGGTGGCACGACAGAGCGTACATCTGTAAAACACCCAAAGGTACGAAGCTGTATCACTTCATGGCAGTTCTCATATGTGTGTTCTGTAAACAAGGCCAGGACCCCCCCAACAAACATCCTGCTTCCTAAACAAATACTTATGCAAGTTTGCTTTTGCATAGAGTTGGAATCCAATAAATCTTTGTCAGGTCGTGTAGAGAATCTGGAAAATATAGGAATGCTCCACACTTTAAAAGCATATTAAAAAGTCAGATAAACTATGAAATTATTATTTGCTTGTTAATAAGACAAAAGTCACATGAATGTAAAACTTTGCAGCCTCTGAAAAAAGGTTCTCTCTAAAAGTTGCTTATTTTTATCAGTCTTTAACGTCAGAAACTCACATGAGAACAAGAGTCTGACATTTGCATTTTGCTTATTTTCCTAATCTGTCTTTAATGAGACGTACGTCGTAATGATGTTAAAAAACTATGTTTGTTTTTGTCATTTAAGATTGCAGTCAAACTATTAACATGCACTTTATTAAAAAAAAAACGACATCACCTGCTGATGAAATGTTAACCTTTGAACATACTGCAAGTTTTATTCTGTATTATAGTAAAGTCAATGAAGTTTTACAATTCAGTTTCATAGCAATTTGTTTGCTTACTACTTTCTTGTTTTTTCTATAGTTCCAGAAACAGAGGGAGAATCAAAACCCGGTAAGTTAATATTTCTACATCGACTGAAGTTGTGTCATCTTGTAATTCATTTAGGTACTTAATTCAGTGAAGTAAACGTTAAAATGGTAAATGTGCAGTAAAATGTTTTAAGTGACATCTGTCTACTTGTCGAATGTGCAGAGCCTCATGGAAGTGAAGATCATCGCAGTCGTGTCCACACGAGTTTGGTAGTCGTGCTGCTCATCGCCATAATCTCCTCACTGATGGTCGTTGCTTTCTTTCTCTATAAGAGGTCCCCTCGCTCACTCCCCACCTTTGAAAATCCACTCTACTTCAACAACGAGAAGTCCCAGCCGGATGTGATCGACACCAATAAACTGATAGAGAATGCAGAAAACACTGAGACTTTTATAACTCTGTGATTCACAAAGATGCACATACTGAGAGGTTAATTTTACAGTACATACACAGATGTTTTACATCCTCGTGCTTTGTTTTATTTTACTAAATACAATTTATATTCAGTAAATTAACAGTAGTTATTCTTTTTCTACCTATGCTTGAATGTATATAATGGTTACATGTAGTTATCTGGATCGTGTTCGTTAGTTTTACTCTTGGAATGTAAAAAAGATTCAATGAAATCTTTATTGGCTTTCTGTTAAATAAACATTCACTTTCCTGAAAATTGTACTGTTCATTTTTTAATTAAAAACGTAGGTAAACATTATTATTTAACCACACGTTTTTCCCTGTTTTTGTCACTTGTTGTAATGTAAATATACTTTGTTCAGGTCATTTCTATGGATAATTACTGAATAAAATAAATGTTGCTTCTGGAGAGTTTTCATTCTGATTCTCAGAACTTTTTGATGATTTAATTTTAGCTTTGCATAATGGATGGATGGATGATGGATGGATGGATGATGGATGGATGGATGGATGGATGATGGATGATGGATGGATGGATGGATGGATGATGGATGGATGGATGGATGGATGGATGATGGATGGATGGATGGACGGAGGGATGATAGATGGATGGACGGATGATGGATGGATGGATGATGGATGGATGGATGGATGGATGATGATAATGGATGGATGGTGGATGGATGGATGGATGGATGATGGATGAATGGATGGATGGATGATGGATGGATGGATGGATGGATGGATGATGGATGGATGGATGATGGATGGATGGATGGATGACGGAGGGATGATAGATGGATGGATGGATGGAGGGATGATAGATGGATGGATGGATGGATGATGATGGATGGATGGATGGATGATGATGATGGATGGATGGATGGATGGATGGATGATGGATGGATGGATGATGGATGATGGATGATGGATGGATGGATGGATGGATGGATGGATGGACGGAGGGATGATAGATGGATGGATGGTTGCTTTATTGATTTTTTTTCAGAAAATTACTGTCAGAGCAGCAGCAACGTCACACACAGACAAAAGCAACAACAAGATAATACAAAAAGTATTATTACTAAAATGTTGAAGCCAAAAATACACTCATACTAGAAAATAAATGTATAAAAATAAACTGAACCAAGGTAAAGTGGTACTTTTAGTAGAATACATTTAGTACACATTTAGTATTTCTTGTAGCGGTGAGTGATTGCCTACTTTTACTGAAGCCAAGACGGCCACGGAAGCTAATACAAAGTACAACCCTCAGTCCTACATTCTTGACTCTCCTCTTCTCCCTCTGTCTCCTGACATGTTTCTCTCCTCGTGGTCTTCAACTAACAGTAGCACACTTTCCGCCGGCACCCTCTTTATCAACAGCACTGGTAGCGGCCATTGTTAATCCAGGCCTCGACCGATCTGGTATGGTGTCACTTATATGAACTTGTTTATTAGTTTTGGTAAAAGTGTTTTATGTCGGATGCCCTTCCTGACACAACCCTCACCATTTACTTGTGTTTGGGACCAGCACAAAAGATTTACGCTACAGTTTTGCTGGAAATACAAATTCTCCAGTTTTTTGTAATCCTGATTAGACAATCAAAAGGAATCATTTCTATAGTATAAAATATTATCAATGAAACATGTTTTCCCTCCACAATAATGTGTTGCCTTTTTGTTTTTACAACAACCCAAATAAGTGTTCACTAAAACTTCACTAAGCACATTTATGTGATCAGCTTCTTCGTTTTGACAGACAAACTTTAATTAATAATTAATAACACATTGTATAATTTATTGTCAAATGCCATGTCAATGGGATAAAGATTGTTATTTTTTTGTCCTTGTGTCATAGGATGGGTGGTAAAATGGAGCCAAATGCAGGTGAGCAGGAGGCATGTTCTTCACGGCTTTAACTTTAATACCAGAACAGACTGGTGTCCAAGCCTTCAAAAAAAGACATGAAAGAAACAACAGGAAACAGGTGTGAACATGAGACTCTTCCATGAACTTTGGAAAAAAAAAAAAAGCATAAATTCTAGGAATAGTAACGTCTCTGACTCAATACAAAAACCACAAGAAATTCAGAATATGACATCCCCATGACCCTAACTCACAGTTCTGACTAAACCCTCTGGTAAAGTGTGAAACTGGTTTTTATGACTAATTTCTGAGAACTTCAAAGAAATGTCAGCATTTATAAAATTAGCTATTCACAGCAAATACACAATATTCCATTAAATCGTTTTCCCATGAATATTTGATAAATAAATTTGAACGTAACTACTCCAAAGATTTGTTTAACATCTGCAGGAAATCAGTTTATAATCTCATTATAATTCATCTCCTGCGTTTGCATGTTTTAATTTCTTACAAAACCAACAGGATAAAGGGACCAGCACAAACAGACTCAGAGAACCATGATATGCATCAATGTAAAATGCTCCACCGAAGGAGAAACAGAGACTGCTGCAATATTTGGACTCGGACTGAAGAACATAATGAACACACCTGGCATGAAGACACCTGGGAACAGGTGAGAGTGGGTGAGGCAGGAGCAGAGCTGAACAGGGAGAAGAGGCACTTAGGAGAAACAAACCGAAAATGAAAATACAAAAAACAAAACTCCAACACAAAAATGCCAACCACATAATAAAACAAAATCACCAAAGTGGAACTAAACACAAAGAAAATGCAAATAAATAAATAATAAAATGTAACAACCATGCAAGCAAAACCCAAAACAAAAATCAAACACTGATCAAATATCTAAAGTCATCAAAATAACCACTGACACAAACTACATACCCAACGTTTATGAAATCTGTTGCAAAACTCTTTTTTGGGAAAAATGCTGAAAGACAAGGCTGGTAATGTTGACTCAAGAAGAATATAAAAAGAAAAACGCTGAAGTAATTTTGTGTCAGGATGTGGCAGTCCCTTTAAAGCATCCCACATTTTTAAAATCGTGAACACAAGGCTTAGATTCTCCACAGACAACATATGGCTTAATCCTTCGACTGCTTCTGAAGATCCTCAACAATGAAGATTATATTTATGGCTTCAGTGTTTCTCCTACAAACATTACAGTGCATGGCGTCAGATGGTACAGATTTCTAGTTTTTTGGTATCATTTGTCTAGATATGAAGAAGTTTTACTGTTAAATACTGAGGTGGAGTAGTACTTTTGTGTTAATAAGAAAACTTAGTCTGTATTTAAAGTTTAATTTCCAGTACAGGTTTTAATGTTTTATGAGACAAATTAGGACTTTTAAAACAAGAATAATGATGGTTTCAAAGCGTTTTTATACATTTTATCTGCAGACTCAACATTTCAATTAACCAACAAAGCTACTGGATTTTGTGTGGTCAAAACTGGTGTCACCTGTGATGACGTACGATGGACAACTGGTGGACGGCTGCTGGTCGAGGGGAAGAATAGATGCCTCGGAGTCCAGGGGAAAAGTGTGGGGAGTGAAGTACGCCTCTACGATTGCGATGAAAACAGTGAGCTCCAAAAATGGGAATGCAAGAATGAAACGGTGCTCGCTCTCCAAGGCCAGGAGCTTTATGTTGAGCCCAACGCAGACGGCCCAGCTGTACTCTCAAAAACGATTGGACCCAACAGCCACCTCACAATTTCAGGAACGTCGAGCGGAGCCTGTACAAGAACTTACAGAGGTATAAAACACTCATTAAATTCAAACTTTGAGACTGTAGTGATCGATATGATATAAATATTAATAGAGTTTGGGTTTATTAGTTTCAAAAGGGGACCTAGGTGTGGTAAAAAAAAAAAAAATCTCTGCTGTTCTTGTTTGGTTGATTTATTTTCAGAACTTTACACTATTGAAGGAAATGCAGCTGGAAGGATGTGCATGTTTCCTTTTATGTACAAAAACCAGTGGTACTCAAGCTGCACGCAGACTGACTCCCCAGACGGGCGTCTTTGGTGTGCGGTCGAAACAAAGTATGAACACGAGACCTGGGGCTACTGCCCAACAAACAGTAAGTACTGGTCTGTGCCCCAATTTTGTTGTTGAGGGACACATTCAGTTTGAACATTTTTTTTTTTTTTTTTTTGCATCCACTGATTTAAAGTAAATATAATAATTTTTACAGTAACAATACACAAGCATTTTCTTACCAATATATTGGTCTTTAAATGTGACCAGAGACGTGCAAATTACAGAAAAATGAGCTGTATTTTACATACATGTGTAATATTTTGTAGCAAAGGAAAACTGGAACAAACACCCAACAAGTGGAGCAGTTTACCAGCTGAACACACAGTCAGCTCTGACATGGCGGCAGGCTGAAACCAGCTGTAAGCAGCAGGGAGCCTCCCTGCTCAGTATCACTGATCCGCACCAGCAGGCCTATGTCACAGGTAAGATGGCAAATAAACAATAAACACACTGTTAAAAAAGATGGTTGTTAGTCCTTGTATCATTCACGTTAACAATAATAAAAGATACATTTTTTTATTTTTTTTTTAAATCTTCCGTACATTTTATTTACTACACTTATAGCACTGTTGGAGGTGAAAGGGGACAATCAAGGATACAGACTTTGGACTGGGCTGACTCTGGATTCAGAACATGGCTGGAAGTGGACCAATGGGAACCCTTTCCGTTACTTGAATTGGGACTCAGGTGTTTTTTTTTTTTTGTGTTACCAGTCTGGTTCCATCTTTTCTTTTCTTCTGGTTTAATTGATAAAACAAAACTAAAATAAAATAAAATAAAATTCTTAGTCCAGCTACTTAATTTTTGACTCATAATATAAAATATTTATTTGACAAAGTGATGGCGGTCCTGCTGCTTTAGTCATATATTCTAATTTTGATCAGAAAGACAAACAACTGTATTTTACACCACTCCCCCAGAGCAGAGTTTCTTAATTTATGTATCCACCAGGAGCAATTTGAGATGAGTTGGCTTATCCAAGGTCAGCGGGGAGGCCAAATTCAAATCAACAACAATTGTTTCGGATGCTATTTATGCTGGTACACTCAGTGGCAAATCCAAACAGCCAGATCCATGGACATTCCTCTGGTCCATGCTTGGTGCCTTCTCCAAGGTTGATTCCTTCATGCCAGCAAGTCCTAGGAGCTGCAAGTGGTCCACGATGCTCAGAAATCGCATCCAACTTACGGTTCAGCTCGCAAAGCATATTAGTCTGAGAGCTCAAAACACGGGGTGATCCTTCATATAAGGCAGGCAGCTTTACTATTACTGAAACTGCTGCAGACGTCTTCCTAATTAGTCGATATCCCAGGTATCCGCCAATTCCAAAAATCAGAAACTCTGTTATCATAAATCCAATTATGTATGTGTCTTGTACATCCTCAACAGATGGCACAGACAGGCACAACATCTTCCAAACACCCCAGGAATCCATGACATATCCAGCTGCGTGTGTCCCGTCAGGGCATGAGGGTTCTCCTGCACCCTGTCTTCTAGAAAATGTTATCAGTTGCGTTGAGAGACTAGCTGAACAGATTGTTTTGTCACACACAAAAAAAGCCTGTGCATTCAAATAGTAAAATGTGTCATTGCATTTTCTTTAATATTTTATCTTGTTTCAGGTCATCCACTTTCATATCCAGGACATGTTTGTGGGAATATTGATGGGTCTGTGAGGTTCTCCTGGCAAAGTTCAACATGTGACAAGAAACTGGGCTACATCTGCTACAGTAAAGGAGTATTGCCTTCTCCCACTGAGGGTAATGAAATAACTTTTCTCTCTTTTCTGAATGTATCCCTTGAAAAGTCTTTGAACTTTATTTACAATAGTAGATCCATAGAGGAAAAAATTGGCCACCTTACTTAACTGTCTAAACACACACACACACACACA